CCGGTTGTTTTAATTTCTGATAGGGTTGGATTGGGTTCTCCCCAATTGCTAGTTTCCTACACTTAGTTTATTATTGGTCCAGTCGAATTTTGAGTGGTTCTTTTAGCCTAAGTTGAAGGTAATTGAATCGGAGTTGTTGAACTATTTCCTACAATATTTAGGGTCTCCAAAGAAATCGTGCTAGAATAACCTACTATTTCATAATTTATCTCGTCATTGGGTAGGCATCCTAACCTTGAATTCATTCATAAGTTGACTAACTTCCAAGAAATGATAACAACTTTTGAGGCTAGGATAGTTAGAACATCAATCTTATGCACACCGGTTACCTTCTCAGGGGTGACTCTCTCGGATGAACAATGACCAATATTTGTTGACATTTCCTCGATAAAAAAAAACCTCCACAAATGTTTTTGACATAAGAGATCGCTCTCTCCCAATTGCAATGTTTGTGGTTAACCTTAAACATCTCAGTAGACCATTATAAATGATTTGAATGAGCAGGTAGTCATATAAGGTGTACTGTGGGCACTTTCTAGTCAGTTCTTTGAACCTCTCCCAAGCTTCATAAATGGACTCTCCATCTAATTGGATGAAGGATATTATGACATGCCTAAGTTTGATAGTTTTGGGTAGAGGAAAGTATTTGGCCATGAATTTTTGGGTTAATTAGTTTAAAGTGGCGATCAATCCCAGTAATAAGGAGTAGGTTCACATCTTGGCTTTATAACTAAGTGAGAAAGGGAATGGCCTTAACATCATTAGGGACACTGCTATTCCTGAAAGTGACACGGTTATAAAAGAACAATCTGAGTGAATGTATGCGTCTTCAGTGGTTGATCCACAATACTAATTTTTTGAACCATTTGTATGAGCTTAGGTTTAAGTTCAAATGTTGGGTTTATACGTCAAGGTAATTAAGACTCATGTGCATTCCTGCTACTAATGAGTGGACATACTCTCTAAGAGGTTTGCATTGGTTTCCTCGGGGATTTGACATTGTTAAGGGGTGCCTTCAAGGTTTTGTTATTTTTTGAATTCTATCGTTGATGGTTTTTTTTTATTTTAGGTTCAAAGGGCACTAACTAAGCCAACAATGTCTGTCATCTAGGTACCCTGATCAAATGCAACACAGACAGTGATGATTCAAACACGCCAAATAAACATGCAACACCATAGAAAGTGAAAGATGCAATATTTTTGGATTTTCTAAAAATAGATCAAAATGTAAGAAAACAGAAGCAAACAACACAGAGAAAAAAGAAAATGTTTAAACCTAAATACGAAATAGTTCAACTAAAATTCATCTAAATTAAAAAAAAATGACTTCCTTTCCCTAATAACAACACTAATAACTTAATGCTCGAAATCACTACGAAGCAATCGATCAATCACGTAAGTATAGATGTCAATCTAAGTAATATATAGATTATGAATTTGCATATCGATCATACGAGAAAACTAGTAATTTTTTCTAAGAAACGAAGTTTTAGTTTACTAAACCTCTAATTCTAGGGGTTTAGATTTTCAGAAGGTGAACGATTCTAAAATCCTAAAGCAAAAAATAGAAGTGGGTTATAGAGTTTTCTAGAGGTGATGGACATCATACTCTTGTTACTATGATTAAGTGAATCCTCGAAGTTTTACTATGAGATCCCCATGTTGTCCTTAATAACCAAGGACAAGTCCTCCTTAGCATATGTCTAGGTTTTAAGAAGCATTGGAAACCCACATTACAGTCAAAGGGGCTTAACAATGAAAAGTTTCCCCAGAATCCTCTAGTCCCCTATCTAGGTTGCAATCCTTTTTTGGAAATATGTCTATTCCACTAGGTGACTGTGTGTTAACCTACTTGTTTTTCTAGTCAAATGTTAGAAGTCTTAAACATAAGAGATTTCAACTTCTAATTGGTTAGATTAGAAGTAAATGAAAACCGAAAAGTTAATACATCAATGTAATCAAATCAAAACAAAAAAAGGTCTATGCAAAAATAATGGAGAAAATATCCAATTCACTCACAAACCTTAATCATTGAAACATGAGAATTATTTAGCTACTTTGTATGATTTAAGAAAAAGGAAAAACCTTAGTGTAAATAAGAAATCAAGCATGTAAATCTAGTACAAGCAATCAAACAAGATAAACATTGCCCCCTCGATCCTCCCCTTACAATGCAAGCACTCCATGTGATCTCCCTTGTATAAGCACACAAATAATCTCATCCTCTCCAATCTCTCCAAAACTCTCTCACAAAAAGCACTAGAAAAAAACTTTTCCCATGTAAAACCCAAGGGAATCACATAAGGCTTTCTTAAGGTAAAGGGAGGAGAGCCCCACAAGCCCAAAAATCACCCTAAAGCCTTTATAACATCTCATAATATAATCATAGCCCAAAAAGACATTTTAATCGCTTGCCAAAATAAGCTACTAGCAAAACCGGGCGTTGGTACGTCAGATCCAACATAGATGCACCACAACCTGACATAAGCAAGCTACAAGGTTGCACAGATACACCATGTTTGATCGCTCCATGCCTCCATGCGAGAAAGAAGGTGGGGGGGGGGCGCATGGGTCAACTACACTATGCTCAATTTTGGTCCACTTCATATTATAACTCCCCGAGACACACTAAACACCCATAATATATAAAATATAACAAAAAAACTCTTACTAGCAAAACAGGGCGTTGGTACGTCAGATCCAACATAGATGCACCACAACCTGACATAAGCAAGCTACAAGGTTGCACAGATACACCATGTTTGATCGCTCCATGCCTCCACGCCTCCCCGAGACACACTAAACAACCATAATATATAAAATATAACAAAAAAACTCGTTCCCAAGCGTAAAATCCTTACAATAAATAAATGAAATATGAAATTTATAAGAGAAAATATCACATATTTGATTCTCCTAATTGGAATTTCCTAAACGCTTGTAACCAGGTGGCGATGCAAGTAGAACGGGTTTTTTTTTTTAATCAGATGTCGAGCCTTATTAATAACTATATTAAAAATTAGTGGTTAGAATATGCATCAATTTTGGGACTCCTAGTTAGAGAAAATAATTTCTACCAACTCAACTCCTCCATGTAACCCTGCTTCAGCTTTTCAAGACAGTTTAGAACCGTCCACTTTCTACATATTTTTTTTCTCTAGGCGAGAACTACCAATTTCAGAGCAATACTTTTTAAAAAAAGGGATTGAGTAAAAAAAAATATTTCTATCTATCCATCAATCTGCTCGATCAAGAAAATTTTTAAAGATTCAAATTTTGATTATTTGTAATTGATCTTTTTTATCAATTAACTCCATCAGCCTGGTTGTTTCAGTAAGGAACCGTAGCTGACACAACCAATGACTAGCTTCCGTCTGGAAGAACAAATATTAATTTTAAGAAAATATCACATAAAAAATAAATATATAGATTCAAACTTCTTTAAGATAATGTTAATTAATAGTTATTTAAAATTAATTTTATTGTATTTATTCCGCTCTCCTTTCCTCTATTTTTTAAATATTACTTGGTACCATTATTTATAAAAGAATCAGTCTTAACACTCCAGGTATTAACTCTACATCGGAGCATGGGAAAGGATTTGACATCTTGAGCTTTTTGTCACAGAAAAATAGTCTCACATCGGCTAGGTGTAGAGCCGAAAAGCAGTATTTAAGTCCTGGGTTGCCCACCTCTCTTAAGGGCTATTTTAGGAGGTGACAAGTGGTATCAGAGCAGATTACTCTCTGCCAGGTGTGTGGACTCTCCATGGTCCAGTGGGACCCTTGGTGGAACCGATCAGTGACAAGGGCGTCACGTGATTGGGTGGAGGAGAATGTTACGAACAAATAGTCCCACATCAACTAGGTGTAGGGCCAAAAGAGCTCTTAAGTCCTGGGCTGCCCACCTCAAACCTCTATTGAGGGCTTTTTTGGGAGGTGACATTTCACTAGCTTATTTTATCAAAACAACATGCATTGGTTTTTGCATAAATTAATTTTATTGTATTTATTCCGCTCTCATTTCCTCTATTTTTTAAATATTATTTGTTACCATTATTTATAAAAGAATCAGTCTTAATACTCCATGTATTAACTCTACTCTGAAGCATGGGAAAGGATTTGGCATTTTGAGCTTTCTGTCATAGACAAATAGTCTCACATCGACTACGTGTAGAGCCGAAAAGCAGTATTTAAGTCCTGAGTTGCCCACATCTCTTAAGGGCTCTTTTGGGAGGTGACAAATGATATCAGAGCAGATTATTGTCTGCCAGGTGTGTGGACTCTCCATGGTCTAATAGGACCCTCGATGGAGTCGATCCGTGATGAGGGCGTCACGTGATTGGGTGGAAGAGAATGTCACAGACAAAGAGTCCCACATCAACTAGGTGTAAAGTCGAAAAACAATACTTAAATCTTGGGTTGCCCACCACCCCTAAAAGTTCTTTTGGGAGGTGACATTTCACTAGTTTATTTTATCAAAACAACATGCATTGGTTTTTGCATTGTATACTCTTAACAAAGAAGATCACTTTCTCATGAAACAATGGAGAGAAGTAAGCTGAGAAATTAAGGAAATAAATAGTAAATTATTATCACCATTGAGATATACATAAGTAATATGTATAATAGCTCATGAAACAGTGGAGAAAAGTAAGCTGAGAAATTATAAAAAATAGATTATTATCACCTTTGAGATATCTATAGAAAAATTTTATAAGAGGCATTTACATACATCACCCTACTCCTGAGTATTTATATTTCTAACACAAACTTCAATTTTTTTTACATTAATACCACCCAAATCATTCATAGCACATAAAAAATACACTATTTTTTAAAAGCGAATACTCCATTTTATGCATAGATAAGGTGACGCATGGGAAAAAAGTTGAAGTTTAGGTGTTACATATGTAATTACATAGGAATTGAGTGGTATGTTTGTAAAACTTCCTATTTATAAATAATCACGATAAAGCACAAAATACCTTTCGTTCGTGGTTATCAACAGATCCTATCAACTCTTTTTCATATAATACAGTCGAATTGTTTCAATTTTTGCATGTTCACTTGGACTTTTACAGCACGAAAAGTGTCCAAATACTTACAAACCAATCCACTAAACAAGAGAGAGGCTTTATGAAGATCACGTAACTTTACAAAATTGTCCGTGCTTTTTATCACAATCAACCATCCATGGCTTAACTGAAACTGATGCAATTAAATTCACATATCACGCTGCAATCAGCTGCAATCAGCTCTTTGTTCTGCAGAAACAGAACACCGCATCCATCAGCACTCTTCCAACATTAGAAAACAGTGATTTTTGGAAACAGAACGTTGTTATTTATGGAAAAAGTGCAGAATCCATAACTTGCTACCTTCCGAAATTTGATGAAGGCTATAATTTTTTATTTTCTCAGATTGGTTGCATTATGGAGGATCACATAATGAAAAATTAAGTCTCAAGTTGAACAATTATATTTCCCTAGCATCCTTCTATTTTTAAGGCCATTTCATTCTCCTGACGAACCATGGAACGAATGAGTATGTCATTCGAATTCTATTGGTTTCTCTTATTTAATAAACTCTGATTTATTGATTGATAAAAATCAAATCTTACATTTGATTATTCAACATGTAAAATCAGAAAAAATAAAGCTAACTCTCATTTATTGATTGATAAAAATCAATTCTCTTCTCAGCTTACAATTGAATATTCAACATGCAAAATCAGGAAAATTAAAGCTCATTCTTTTCGATTATATGATAGTCACGCTTAAAACTGTTTTGACATGATTCATAATAATGTATGGGGGCATTATACGTGTTATATCACATGTAAATTATATATACAGTTTATAACATTGATCAATGATTATAGATACATAAAGTTATTTTCCTAGTCAGATGTTTAAAATTTTAACTGCCTTTTAATAATTTACAGTCTATTTCAAAGAGAAGATTTACATTATTCTTTCCCTTAAGTTTTTTCGCTTCTCCTTTGGATGCACATTCAACAAACTTTAGTGAACTTTATTTTGTTTCTCAATTAAATAGAGTCAATATAACTCATCATTACCTCTTTGCAAGGCATCTAGTGCAATTTTTCTTCTTTTATTTATTGCTAACGATATTATTATTATTGGGACAGATTTGGCTCTAATAGGTTGTTTACAAAAATATATTCAGGACACACTTCATATAAATGACCTTGGTTCACTTAATTTCTTAGAGTTGGAAATTCATTCTACTCCCTATGGCATTTTCCAAAACCAACATAAACATACGAAGGAATTGATTACTTTGTCTAGTCTACAAAATCCTTAGAAATTCTATAAAAATTAAATGCAAAGTATCATAATGAGAAAGGTGTGCTTCTGCTTGATCCCACTATATTTAGATAATTAACAGAAAGTTTAAACAATTTGACAATTACCTAGCCTAATATTAACTTTAGGGTTCAAAAAGTTAATCAAAATCTCAACAATTAGATTTAGTTACTACTTTTCTAGTCATTTGATATATTATTTCGACATCACGATACAGGTTATTCTTTCCAACTAGTTCTTTCACTTCATGTGGCATATAGCTATGCTGATTGTGCTAGGTGCCCCAATAACGAATGACCCGATCATAAACCTGCATATGTTTCTTGGTAATTATTTAAAAAAAATGAGCGACTTGATATCTTTCATACGTTGTGGTGTCTTATAAGTTGATTCCACAAAGAAAGATTTTGATCGCCTAAACCATAAATGATTAAGTACCAGTTAAAATACATCCAATAGCAGTATGTAAACCACAAACTAACAAATTGTTTAAACATGAGTAGTAGAGTTCATACGTTGTGGTGTCTTATAGGTTGATTCCACAAAGAAAGATTTTGATCGCCTAAACCATAAATGATTAAGTACCAGTTAAAATACATCCAATAGCAGTATGTAATGAGATGTAGGGCCACCATTCCTCAAATTTGAAGAAAATATCAATAAACTACAAGTGGAATTGAGACATTTCCATGATCGTCAAGAAGGTGAAGTAATGCAATTTGAAGACTATTGTGGGAAGGTCATTGATGCCATTGTATGCAGCAAGATAAATCCTCAGCTAGAGGTGGAGATAACATAACCTGAAGATGGCAATGAAATAATGTAGAAAAGGCGCCAAGATGATTAAAGACGGTCAATTGGTCCTCCCCTGGAGCCAGAAATGGAACAACTTGAAGGTAGCATAGAGTTATAGGAAAAGGTTGCGGAGGTAACCAGAGAAGGCTGGATCAATCCTCCATAGAGATGGAGGTAGCATGGGAAGTTGGGGAGCCTAGGAACAATGGTCAGATAGATCCTCCTGTTAAATTGGAAATTGCATGAATTAAAAGTATCAAAGAAATAATGCGGGAAAGTTTCTGAACACCATTAGAGCTATAGCTAGATCAATCCTCCTTAACGGTGGAAATAGCACAACCTAAAGGCTGCAAGCAACATTGAAAGGTTGTTGAAGCCACAAGAGATGGTTAGATCAATCCTTCATTGGAGGAGAACATGAAACGACCTAAAGGCGATAATAGAGTGATGCAAGAAGGCTTTGAAGTCCTATTAGAGGTAGCAAGATTGGTTCTAACTTCGAGGAGGAATGACATGACCTAAAGGTGACAACAGGGTGATACAAGGTCATGGAGGCTAGTAAAGAAAGTACGATCAATCATATATAAGAGACGGAGCTAAGAGAACTCAAAGAAATTAATATTACATAATGAATAAGACTCTTTACCTGAGAAAATTTTAAAGGGCCAAACAATCCATATATCTTTAGGGAACCTAAGGCAAACGAGATAGTCTGTATTCTTCCCGGAGAGAGCAAACGAGTGACGTAAAGTAGATGAGTGTAAACAATAAAAACTAGTTCTCCATTAGAGAGGAACAACATGACTTGAAGAGGTTGGTGCTCAAAGAGTGGACAAATGGATCGAGTCTTAAATCTGAGATACTAGCTTAGGGGAAGATGACGAAACATTAGATCAATTGGTTTGTAATGAACTGGGCAGCCAAGGAGAGAGTGGGGACCAAACATCTCTATGAATGAAAAAGGAAGAAGAAGAAGACAATATTGAAACTGAGAAACTCACTCATTTGGAAACAGTAGCCTATGTCCATGGTACAAAATTAATGGAGAATTCCACTATGAAAGAAGCAAAAAATACACTATATGAGGAAGGTCCACTTCATCGTAATGGGTAGAGCTGATAAAGGTAAAGAGAGGGAGGAGGAGAGGCATCCATTATATAGGTTCAATCTCTATAGCCGCATGATCGCCTAATGTTTCTTTTTTCTATTACGTAAATTTATAGGGGGAACAAGATTACTATTGGCTAACCAAAAGGAATCTCTAAAACCACCAAAGAGATTAAGGGGTGTTGCCATCCTTTAATGGGCAAATACTTATGGGACACGTGTTATCTCTTGGTTGGCAGTGGACATATCAAACATAGGAAGGAAAAAATGCAAGCAACTATATGTCAGAGTTCATGTTGACGGTAGTCAAACAAAGTTTCATTGGGTTAATAGAGAAAAGAGATCCACGGTTTTACAAACACAATTTCCCATGCACATGATATCATGTTATTCAACTTCACAACAAATATTAGCTCTAATGCGGTAAATGGGAAGAAGTTTTATATGTCAACAATTTCTAATAAAAAGCTCTGGTGTGGGTGATTCTAAACCATGCTAGTCTAAGCGAATTGAAGAGACTCACTGGTAAAATACTAAGAAAAGATAGTTGGTAAAGTCGTCACCACACAAGAAGTAACTAATCAGAGATCAACTAATTGAAATAATAAAGTTAGTGAAAGGATTGATGAAGGATCAAGTGGTTGAGCTAGCTGAAAAAAATAGAAAAATGTTGCTAACCAAGAGGTCACCATTTACATCTCTTTGCTGCGGAAAAAAAGTCGACGATAAGCTCGGAAGGAGATAGACAATAGCAGCAACATAAACAAAGAGGGAGGTCAACCTCTTTGTGAGCCCTATGAGCTTCGTGACTCGTCGACTTTGATTTTAATGATAACAAATGTGATTGGATGTTGTATTTTGTTACGTAAGTATTTCGGACAAACCAATTCAGACAAATAAAATTGTGTTCAATATACTTTCTCAAAATTAATCTTAAAATAAACTTATGAATTAAATTAATTTGCAAAAAAATATTCTATGCATATTCAATTTTACAAAATAAAAATTTAAACATAAATTTTAGTGTGTAAAAATTCATATCAAATTGAATTATATTTATTCATTTAATTCGATCCTAACTTTGATGTCAATTTAATTTTATATACATATATATATATATATATATATATATTTAATTTTAGAAAAATATGAAATCAAACTGACCACATATTTTTCATAGTTTAAATGAAAGAGAAACCCACTCACAAGGCATACAAGACTAAAAAAAGGTCAAAATGTACATGTATGCCCCCAAAAACTTTGATTAAATTTCATGAAATCGTAGAAACGCGCTGAGCAAGAGTAGAGGAGGTCAATCACGATGGAAGGGTTTTCCTCTCCCCCTCCCCTAGTTCTAGGAATGGAGTTCAACAACAAACTGTAAAGGGGACTTCCGCCCGAGATGATCAAACTGTCATCCTAGAGATTCTGGAGGTGAGGCAGTCCTTTTTTCTTCCTCTTGTATTTTTGAATCTGTCATTCATCTTCCACTTGTTGTTCCTGTTGATCATTGTCATCAGGTTCACTGGGAGTAGGTTCAAGCTGTGCAGGAATGTTTCAATTGTTAAAAATGGGGACAGCAGGCAACTCATCTTTTTGATTAACATTAGTACCAACAAGTTCACAAAAAGTTGAAGGATCTAAAGTTGTCTCTTGGGTAGCACTGGCAGAATTAACATGTTCAGGAATAGATGGTTTCTATATACTTTGTTCTAAAAAACTGTGTCAGAAATAGCATATTCAGGAATAGATAGTTCTATTGCATTTCGTTCAGTCATAGGATTATCTATATCCAGTTGTATTGGAATATTGGGCTTCAACTTTGGGTGTAATATGAAACATTTCTCACGTGTGTGGCCAAACATCTTGTAGTGATTGCAGTAGCAATGTTTTTGTTCCATAATGATTTGTTGTCAATAACCATTATGAGCAGTGTCATGCCAGACTTCTTCTACAACTGGAAGTGTAATATCTCTCTCTATTAAAATCCTTGCAACAGAAGGCTTTGACAGATTAAAAGTAGCAATGTTTAA